CCGCAATCAGCGTTAAAAACTGAGTCGATTTATATATGTTGTGAATAATTCTGAAAAAAAAATTTTTTTTTGAAAAAATCCCTGTACCCCCCATCAGGGATGGTCTTCTCAATAATGACAATTTTTTCGATAACTCAGCCATTTCTTGAGGGATCCTGCTCATCTTCGAACTCGACCGAGACGTTGTTAAGACTGAACTGTGTAGAAAATTTCATCACGATCCGACTCTCCTTTCGAAAGTTATCGGATAAACGGACGGACACACTGACCGATTTTAGTAGTGTACTCACTTTTTGAGTACACAAATAAAATAATTGATTATTAATTTAATAATCAAAATATTTTTATGTGAAATAAAAGAAAATGAATAGATATTTTTTTCTTATTCAAATAATCGTTTGGATTGTTTATCATTTTCAATTGTTTTTAAAGCAATTTCTTTATTTTCGTAAAAAAGCTTTTTTTTATTCAACAAAGTCTTCCTTTTTTTTTGTTGAAAAACGGAATAAAACTTCTAAATCAACTTTAAAATGACCATCAGTAGAAATATTTCAAATTGAATAACAAAAACAAATCGAATAAATTAATGGCACATACAGGTGGAGATTCATTTGTCAAGGACTCAGTGATTACTGATGATGATGAACCAATGATTGTTGGTGATGATCGACGAGTTATGGTTGATAATAATGACTCAACAATCATTCGAAGCAAAAATAAAGTACTTATTCCTATAAACAATGAACCTGTTCTTGTTGGTAATACATCTTGAAAATTAAAAAACTAAAAAGAAATATTCTTTTCTCAGATACAGGAGTTCATGGAACAATCATTACAGTGAATCGAGTTAAGCATTATGCTTTTCTTAAACGGTAATTATCATCTATTCTCATTTTTTCACCTTCTAACTCATATATTTTGCAGTAATGATAAAAATCAATACAAAGACATATTTGCTCGAGAAGCATCAATTATCAACCAATCTTATCAAAGAAAGTTTTTCTTATCGGATAAATGTAAATTCGATGTAATCAAAAGTAATTTATCTGACTTTCATCATAAAATAAATCATACTTCTCTGTTTTGTAGCAATTAAAGGTCTTGAAGCTGTTAATATCCAAATAACAGAGAGAAATATCAAGAGTATTTCTCAATTGCCAAAAATTCCTAAAAAAAAAAAGAAAATAATGAACAACTAATGGAAATGTTGAAAGATGTTTTCAAATCAACAATGTATGATTTAATTAATTTTTTATTTGGCTTAAATTAAACTGCATTTTTCATTTTAGTGCCGAATTATTTATAGAAGCTTCAAAAAAAAATAAATAAATAAAACTTTTCTTGTTCGTCATTTATTAATAACAACATCAATATGACGTTTTTTTTCTTTATCAGATGAATAAAAGACATCTAAACAAAAAACACATTGTACACTTATGAAAAAAATTGTTTATAACCATTTTTTTTTCTTGTGTCGAATAAAAAGAAGTTTTATCTCAAACATATATACTTGTTCCAATCATTCCTTTGTTTTTGATTCATATCTTGAACTCAATAAAAGACAATCTATACAAACTAAATCAAAATTTAATTTAGCATTTATTTTCATTTCTAATTGAAATTCTTTCCTTTATTAAAATCATCATCATTAATTAGTATTGACGAGTAGCGACGTGTCTTCTACTCCTTTTATTGAGGGTAAATTTTGAGCGGAAGCATTATATTCAGGGGTGCCCTTCCGTCGTCAACAAACAGTAGCACTGTGAAATCAAAGCACACATCTTCCGGAACCTACCTAGAGACCAAATAGTATACTCCGCTCCCGAGCTCCATTTCTTAGTGGCATACTGCTGGGATCCCTAAACTAACGCCTTCCATATGATGGACCGCTCTAGCAAATCGTAACAACCGCTCTGACATCTCTTCATTACATTTTCGACCAAGAAGATTGCACGGAATCATTTCTTTCTTATTGTTTAGACAACTACTAGTAATGTTAGGGCCGACCCTAGGATTATCGATGATTTCTTATCGAATGAGGTGTATATGTATGGGTCATGGTCGTTTATATCGCTGAGAAACAGAAACTCACGCCCCCCATTGGTCGACAAATGAAGGAATCCGATTTCAGGAGTCCTTTTCTGTCGTATTGTTCGGACAGGTAATAGTCATGTTCAGGCCGATCCTAGGATTATCGGAAATGCTCTATCGAATGAGAGGTATATGTGTGGGCCTTCGTCGCTTCGATCACTCAGAAATAGATACTCCCAATCTCATTGGTTCCTTAGTGAACAGACAGATTTCTGATTCTTTCTTCGACATTGTCTCGGAAATAAATGCTATCACAGGATCCAAGAAAGCGAGGGTACTCCCCTAGGATAGTCGATGGCAACTTAGGGGCACTCCTGTAGGATAGCTCATGAGGACTTGTATATACTTCTATAGCATAGCCCCTGAGGGCTTCTAGGAACCCCTATAGTAGGGCTTGCGGACCCAAGGGTACCCCTATAGAAGATCTTGAGAATCTAAGGGTACCCCCTATAGTAGACCTTGAGCACCCTGAAGGTGAGTACTAATGTTTCACCGGTTGATCGTTTCACCGCTCTTTGGTAACTTCAATAGAACGGTGAGCGATTAATCGTCACCGTTGCACCCCTAATCCGGTCTTTCAAGAAGCAAAATATCTTTTATTTAACTTGAAATGTTCATAGTACGGTGTTGATAAATGTGCGATTGGCTGTGAGTAAGAGTTGATAAAAAGAGAATCAAATTTATATCCACCTACAGTCGCATCCACAAGCTCACTCCACACTCACATCCGCATGCTGAAAAACATTGATTACGTGAACTGTTGAGAAAGATAAATACAATGAAATCTACTATGCATGCTGTACGTCATCAACAGTTCTTATGAACATAATCAAAGATCAGAATGTCACTGAATTACAATTTTAATAAAAAGACAACTATTTATTTAGTGCTCTCTCTTGTCTTTTGCTAGTAAAATATGTTCTGTATACATCAAATAATCAAAAGAGATTGTTGATAGCTGCGTTGTACTCACTGACTAGAATAGTATTCGTGTAACAGTCACTAAACAAGATGGCCACTCAAGAGAATGCAATACAAACCAACGAACACCGTCGTCAACATCAAAGATACATGGGTTTAGCGACACAGCGTGTATTTCAATTCATTTCTTCATTAATTATTCCACTTGTGTTGGGTATTTTCACTGTCGTTATCACTTTTCATCAACAGAAAATGGCCCGAGAACAACGACTTGAAGATCTCAATGAATCCAGGCATCAACGGCTCGAAGATTTCAGAGAGTCGAGAGAACGGCGCCAGGTAGAAGAGCAGACGGCAAATCGATCAAATGAATTTCAGCGTCAACTAGCAACCGATCGATATAGAGACGAGTTACTTGTTGATTATATTAAGGATATGGCTACATTATTGGAAAAGAGCAATGGTTCACTCATAGCTGACAAAGTTACGGCTACTGTTGCTCGAGCTAAAACTCTGACTGTTTTTCGTCAACTAGATGCACAGCGTAACATTCAAATTGTTAGATTTCTCTACGAAGCCGAACAACTTACTGAAATACATAAAAATTCTTCACTGGATCTTTCAACAGCAAAACTTCGCGATATTGATTTTCGTGATGCAGCAATAAATGAAAAACAATTGGGACAACTATCCTTGATTGGCATCTTTCTATCGAATGCCACATTTATGGGCATTGAGATGGAACATAACAATTTCGCCAATACTCAGTTCAACAACGTAAACTTCTTATTCAGCCATCTTAACAATGTCAATTTTTCATCTACCAGCTTCGACAATGCTAACTTTTCATTTACTCAAATGGATACTGTTAACTTTGCGTTCGCGACGCTTAAGAATATCGATTTTTCATCTAGCAAACTAAAAAATGTCAACTTTTCAAACTCTTTGCTTTTCAATTGCAACTTTTCATCTTCTTTCTTGTCTCATATCGAATTCTCATCGGCTCGGCTCGACAGTGTCAAATTTATATCGACTAAGCTCTATGATGCTCATTTTTTCATGGCTTCACTTCTCAATACCAACCTATCATTAGCCCAACTCAACAGTATAGAATTTTCATCGTCAGAGTTTGCCCATGCAGACTTTTCATTCGCTCAACTCTTTAATGTCACATTCTCACCTTCGACGCTCATCGATGTCAAATTTGTCTCCGCCGAGCTGGATAAAGTTAGCTTTTCAGATGTTGGGTTAAGAAATGCTGACTTTTCATCCGCTATTTTAGGTAACGTTTACAATAGTTTTATCTCTTTTTTTGCATGACATTTATTTTTCGATTACACTTTTAGCTTCAACTAGTTTTGCGGAATCGAGAATAGTAAGCACATGCTTCGAACAAACTACTGCTATTGCCGCTGATTTCTTTTTTGCCAGCCTTGGTACTTCGAAATTTATAAGCTCTAATCTCAAGCACGCTATCTTCAGCGTAGCTGATGTCGTTGAGGTTGACTTTTCCGACGCGAACTTGTACAAAGCCGACTTTTCTGACACTGAAATTTCAGAGAATCAACTGCAAAGTGCTCTCTCTATTCAAGACGTCCTGTCAGGCAACGAAGAACATCTTCATGATAAAAACTTGATTAACAATGGCCATGCTGATTGCAGTATTGCTCTCGTTATCAGTTGGATATTACAAATTGGCAATGTCACTACGATGATGTATGATAATAATAATACTAACTGCCGATTCACGTTACAGTCACTTGCTACTGGAGCCGCTATGTTACAACGCATCAGTTTATCAAATAAGTGGAATTCGAATTCTTGGCCATATTCCAAAGCCATATTGAGTGCAAGTATGAGCGTTGGTGTATCCATTCAGTGGAGAGGAATCAATAATACCGGACATATTCTTGCTCAACAAAAATTAAGTATGTTTCAGTATATGCCTAGGACCAACTATGACACATATTTTATTTATATAGATTCAAGTAAAGATAGTATCAGCTTACTTTTGGAAAACAGCATGCAAGAGCTCGAAGTGTTCATCGAATTTAGTGTGTTCGACAATCGCAACAATCAGACAAACTACTGGTGTGATGACATCAAGCTCTTCATCATCTATGGCACATATAAGGAATTTCCACAAGGTAAAAATGCAACAGAAATTATGTGAAGAATATTCAGCACTCGTCCATACTGCGTTTTGGACACTTATTGTATGGATAAAACTTCTTTGAGCTCTTTACTTTCTATCTGTTTAAACATTATTGACTTGGAGTCTTGGTGAAGCTCTATTGTCTATAAGTGCTGAATTCAATAGCAAGAAATATGAACTTTGAACGATCAGTTTGCTACATGAACCGCAATAGAGTTAGTGTTGCAATATTCTGACTACACCACAGGCTATAAGAGCATTCCGAGACTATATTTACTTGAGTCCACTATGACTCTGAAATAGAGTAGCATAAATCTTGTCCATAAGTGGCGTGATATCATCGTGTTTCACATTTGAATTCTGTAGAAATTAAACTGGAAACATTTTTTATCCAGAATAGGATTGTTTACGGAACCAAAGACCACAACAAATATATACTATTTAATTTCGTTTTCACAGTCTATGAATCTAGACGTCGGATTCAGAACGCGATGCGAATTTATCGCCATCATATCATAGATACAGACGTTTTTGTTCTACAGTCTGCAGTCAATTGAGATACGTCAGATCATTTGATTATGATTTTGCCTTGCACGCACTTTTGAAGATATTTCGACATTTCATTGAGCTATGATATAGATGCTAAAGTCGCCATAGATCCGATTCGAGTTAGACCTTGTCAGCTCATTTCGAACAACACACTTTTTATTGCATGGAGGAAATTGTATTCTCTCCGCAAGTTCAGCTGAAGTAGTCCACCGAAAGTTGTAGTACTTTTTACTGCCTAGTGAAGAGATAATCAATATTCCGTTACATATACAATAGTTCTATTATTTGTTGCTTAGTTTTGTGTAATTTTATCCTTAAGGACATAGATGAAGAGAAAACATTAAAAACTATGCATTTTTCTCTACTTGAACATCCCTCACTGGATTACTGACATAATAATGTTTTTTTCTAGAAAATTCTAAGTTACATGTCTTTCTTCGAAAGATAAAAGAAAGAAGAAAAAAAGATATGGAAGGCATCAGGTTACAAAAACAAATTTTAACTTTATATGTTGTATATGATAATTATATTTATAATATTCAATGTTGATGTCATTTGCAACTCCACTGACATTTAACTATCTTAAATAAATAAGTTTAGTCTTTTTTCTTGA